TCTTCTTCTTCTTTTAATGTGTGTGGTTTTTCGAGACAGAGTTTTTTTGTAGCTTTGGTGCCTGTCCTGGAACTAGCTCTTGTAGACCAGGCTGGCCTTGAACCCACAGAGATCCCCCTGCCTCTCTTTAATCCCTCCCAAGTGCTGGGATTAAAGGTGTGCACCAGCACCACCTGGCCTGTGTAGCACCTTTCACTCCCTGCCCCATTGGTCAGGAAGACACTGTCTCATTTGGTCCTCAAGGTGGCTCATCAAACCTACTTTACAGGTGGCATACTTTATATGCCAACTTTGCCAAGTAAGTCACAGGAGTCAGCAGAGCTGGAAGCTGAGGCCGGGTCTGGCCAATGTCAAGACCCCTCAGCCCTAGCTTCCCCTGCTATGAAACTGAAGAATCAGACAGGGGAAAACTCTCCAGCATGACCACCCGACCCATTGCCTTTCCCAGAGTTTGTGAAAGCTGCAAACCCAGAAAAGGAGCAAAAGGAAGAGAATATTATTAGCCAGGTCTACACGTCTCTGTAAACGCTCCTTTGGTTACACTGTGACAATTCTGGGTGCTGAGGTAATTTGGTTTCTAGCAGCAAATAAACATATTTCTCTAGATTTTTACCTTCCCTGTCCCGTGGACCCCAGTAGGGGTCAGTCTACCTTGATGATGCTGGTCATCAATGGATACTCTTTAATGGACCACTCACTGGCTACCCTTAGCAATGCTTTTTAACCTCCTTCCTCGTTCCTGCCCTTTCTGCCATAACTATCCCAGCGTGTAGGCAGACCACGGGCCCAGAGGAAGCCTCCTCTGCACGTTTCTCCAAAGTAAAGGCTGACACGGTCAGCAAACTGCTTGCTCCTTCTCTGTCCTTCCTTCTCACAGTCTTTCAGGTGTCACGCTGAAGAGCTCCCAGGAAGGTTTGGGGGAGTCAGGGAGGTTATCTGGGCCTACAACTCAGGTCTCACCACCCTCACAGGATTTAACCCATTAGATGGGTGTGGTAAAGAGAAGTGTGGCAGAGCCTAGTTAGAAAAGTGAGCCTGGGTGGCGGGCACTCCATCCTCCTCTCTACTTGGGACTGAGAGTGCCTGGCAAACCTCAACCCAGGAGGATGGCTCTTTACCACTAATCCAGGGCCCAGATTCTGGCTCACAGCCTTCCTTTGGCACCTTGTTGGCTTCTCAGGCTCCCAGAGATGTGTCTGAAATTTCAAATGTTCATGATTGCATTGGGAGAGGAGAGGATCTTACTTCTAATTCCGACTCTCATTATGAACTGCCATGCATTAAGTTCCGCTCCAGTCCATGGAGGGACACACAGACATGGAGGAGAAGCAGGAAAATGCTGGCTGTGGTCACGGCAAGCCAGAAGCATGTGCTGGAGAAGGAGAAGTAAAATGGTGACACCTCCATCTCAGGGCCTCTCTAGCCTATACCCTTAAGTCTCAGCACCAAACCCCAGTTCCTGGGGGGAGCAAGGCACCCAGAACCATGAAACCAACCTGTACACTGCAAAAGCTGAGTCCCACTAGCATTTGCCTGAAAGCAGTTAAAAAAGAAAGAAAGAAAGAAAGAAAGAAAGAAAGAAAGAAAGAAAGAAAGAAAGGGAGGGAGGGAGGGAGGGAGGGAGGAAGGAAGGAAGGAAGGAAGAAAGAAAAGGCATTGTCAAGAAGTTGCGAATGCTCCCTTGAAAAGCCTGGTAGTTACTACCTCCCTCTTCCCTTTGTCCCCCGCTTCCTCCCCCTCCCTTCTTTCATCCCTCTCTGTTCTTCTATTTCTTTCCTTCCCCACTCCACCTTCTCCTTCCATCTACCTACTCACCCCTGTATTCCAGTCTCTCATATTTTCCAAAAGGGACATTTATTTTCTTTATTAAAATAAAACAAACTGTTTTCTTAAAATAAAAGGGCTCAAAGTTTTCCATCCGGGCTTCCTGGACTCCAAATCCATTTTTCTCTTGACCACATAGTGGGAGCAGAGATTGGCTGAGCATGTAGAGCAAAGGATTGGTTACTGCTTCGGTTGTGCAGGGAAGGAGGATGGGGTGGGAGCCTCTGAGCAGACAGTCCCGGCCATGTCTCCATAGGGGCAGCCAGGCCTCCCCTCACTACAGCCTGCTGATGGCCTCACCCCCAGCTCTGTTTCTGTTGCAGTACCTAGGGAGGTTCGAGACCCTCGTCTTCTATTGGCCCTCACTGCTGTGCCTGGGTTTCCTGCTTGGCCGCTTCCTATACATGTTCGTTAAGGCTCTGCCGATCCGCCTGGTCCTGGAGCCACAAACAGTGAGTATGGAACTAAACGCCGTGGTTTCCCAAGAGTCGCCCTCATAGCGGGGATGGGGGTTCTGCTATTGCTTCCCTGCAGCCCTCTCTGGTAAGGGAGACAAGCTTCTCCGAGCAGTGGCTGGGCCAGGAGAGTTGAGGAGGGCCAGACCTCTGATCTTCTGAGGAAAGCAGGCGCCTCACAAAGTCGAAACCTGCCCCGAAGGATGACAGGTGCAGGGATTGCAAAACTTGAATCTCCATCCTGTCCTCCACAGCGATGACCCCTTAAGAGACCAAACCCTAGCAAGCACCTGTGAGCCAGCACGTCCCTTCCTTTCTCATAGAAAGAAAAGTCATTGTTGGAGGCCCACCAGGCAGAGCACGTGAAGCGGCTCCTGAGCAAGCCCCGGCTGCAGTAAGCACACCCCTTCACCCTTACCATTAGATCAGGCCCACAGGACAGACCCTGGGACTGCAGATAGCAGGGACCAACCCAAAGCAGACACAAAGAGGGAGGGAAATGGGGGCCCAGAACTCGAAAAGACTTGAGAGGGAGTCCGTTTCAGGCTAACTGGACCAGGGGCTTAAGAGACAACTTCAGAACTGTATCTTCCTAGAGCTCCCAGTTATGAATGCTCTTAACTGCCCGGGGCCTCACACTGGGCAGGCTTCATTGGCACTCTAGACTTCAGGAGGAAAGAGACATTTCATTTTCTATTTTTTTAAAAACTAAGTCATTTGAGTATATTCCAGTGGGTCAAATCCCAGCAAAATAATCCTTGCATCTAGATGATCCGCCTACAGAGCAGAGATTGGCTGAGCCTGAGTCACATGCCTCCTGTCTCGCTTCCTGAGACAGGAAGTAGTGGCAGCCTCACTTAACAAGTAAGATCCAGCTTCCCTCCAGAGCTTTTGAGATAGTCCGGTCCTGCTCACCTCTGCCTCAGCCACCATCCATACTAGGTAGATCCCAGAGAAGGAACGCATCTTGTCCCAGGTCATATAGTGGCTAAGTTCCTACTGCAGTAGATTTCGCTTTGGAGACCTATATCAAAGTATTTGAAATAATACTGACATGAACAAAACCCAGATGGATTATTTTCTCATATGTAAGAACTTTGGAGGTGAGCAGTTTACAGTGACCCTAGACTGCCCATGGTGTCGGCTCCCAAGCAGTACGTGCCTCCCCTCCTCGGTGCTGCCTAGTGGTCCCACAGTGCCTGGACCACACTAGTCTATACTTCCAGGGACAGACAGAAGGAAACAGGACAGAACCAAAGAGGCTCGTGTCTGTGTCCAGTCTTCGTGGGAAGTCTCCCAGAATTCCCACGTCACACCCGGGGTAGCCAGACATAGTCAGAGCTTCAAGCTGCACGAGAAGTTGGGGTTTCTGCGTTTGTTCGGGTTTTTTTGGTAAATTGCCCCCCCCCCATAACAAAAACCTCCATCCTTTGTCCTTAAGGATGAGGGGAGGTGAGAAGTGATAGAAACTCTTTGTGTTCCTTTTCTGGTGTTCGTTCGTTCACAGAGAACGAGAAAAGTCTTGGTTCCAAACCAGGGTGTATGAGTGGGACCCCTGCTTCCAGTTCCCCAGCAGGATGATCGGGACCCTCGTGCTGGCGTCCATCTGCCTGTACCTTGTAAGTAGCTCCGTGAACCGCCTCTGCCCGTGTGGTGACAGTCACAGCCAGCTCACTATCCAGGCCAAACGAAACTGGTGGTGGCTCGCACCTTTAATCCCAGCACGTAGGAGACAGAGACAGGTGGCCCTCTTAGCTCAAGGCTAATCTATTCCATACAGTTCCAGGCTAACCAGGGCTTCAGAGTGAGACCCTGGCTTAAAAAAAAAAAAAAAAGTCCGTGTGATTAAATTTAGCATTGACAGGGCTGGAGAGATGGCTCAGTGGTTAAGAGCACTGACTACCTTTCCAGAGGATCTGGGCTCAGTTCCCAGCACCCAGATGACAGCTCAACCTGTCTGTAGCTCTAGTTCCAGGGGATCCGACACCCTCACACAGACACACATACAGGCAAAACACCAATGCACAGAAAGTTAAAATAAATCATTAAAACAAAAAAGGTAAATTGCTAAAAAAAAATTAGCATTGACTAACAGTTGATAAGAAAAAATATAGTTGATATCATTTGATATGCAAAACTGACCCAGGAAAATTGATAGCAATGATCTCTAAAGAAAATGGAAAAAAAAAAGAAAATGGACAATTACAGATAGTAAGTAATCCTGTGAAGAATTAAGTCATTTAAATATAAAGTAATTGATTATCCCTCTCTTTGTTTTGTTTTACTTTGTTTTTTTTTCTCTGAGACAGGGTTTCTCTGTGTAGCCCTGGCTGTCCTAAAACTCCCTCTGTAGACCAGGCTGGCCTCGAATGCAGAGGTCCACCTGCCTCTGCCTCCCAAGTACTGAGATTAAAGTCGTGCGTCACCACCGCCACCTACTAGGGAACTAATTCTCATGAAAATAATTTCAGCAAATTAAAGATGAAAGTGGAAAAGCAGAATTGGTTTACGGTATGGATCAGACTGAGATATCTTTCATGTGCTTTTTTTTTTCTCTGAAGTGAATGTTTTCAATGTTGATATGATTCTCACTTCAGTATTTTGTTTGTTTTTGTTTTTTCAAGACAGGGTTTCCCTGTGTAACAGCCCTAGCTGTCCTGGAACTAGCTCTTGTAGACCAGGCTGGCCTCAAACTCACAGAGATCCGCTTGCCTCTGCCTCCCAAGTGCCGGGATTAAAGGGTATAGCACCACCACCCGGCTCATGGTGTTTTATCAGACATAAAATCAAAACACTTGTTATGGTCTAAGTCATTGGAAGTAAAATGACTGAGTAAAGGCAGCTGTAACATGCAGAGTACAGACAGTAAAGTCTAGTTATCTTTGCTTGTTTTTAAGGCAGGGGGATGACGTTCTTTAGAATATATCTGGGGTTAAGGTTTTAAGGGAAGGCATTAATTAGGTTATATTAAGTTCTGATGCTTTTTGTCTATGGCTGACAAGAGACACCATGACCATGGCAACTCTTATGAAGGAAAACATTTCATTGGGACTGGATTACAGCTTAATAGGTTTGGTTCATTATCATCATGGCAGGAAGCATGGTGGCATGCAGCAGACATGGCAGGGAAGTAGCTGAGAATTCCACATTGTGATTGCAGGTAACAGGCAGCAAAGTAAGACACACTTCCTCCAACAAGGCCACACCAACTCCAACAAGGCCATCCCTCCTAATAGTGCCACTCCCTGTGTGCTTATGGGCGCCAATTACATTCGAACTACCACTAGTCAGTGATTTCCAGGTCCCAATGGGAGACCCCCATCTCAATAAACAAAACAACAACAAAAACTGGGGGGGCGCTCTTGGCCTTTCTAAATGCCTGTGGCTTGTCACTGTATGTGTCTGCCCGGCCCCACAATGCTGAGGACAGGTACAGGCAGGGGAGGCAGTTATCTTCCTAAGGCACCCCACATCTTCTGTCATGTGCCTCCCCATCCCTAGGACCTCAAGGCCACCTAGTCAATAGCATGGAGAGAAAATGGCAAGATGCTTGCAGAAAGTCTCCCTGGACCAGGTGGACAAGGTGTGCACCACCTGTCCCTTCTGCTTCTCTTCTGCTGTCCTAATGGGGTTGTGTGGCCACACCTAACATAGGGAGGCTGGGGAATGTAGTCCAGTTCTGTGAACAAAGAAGGGAGAATGGCTTTTTAATTAATTCATTTAGTATACTTGTCTGTATAAGTGTGTGTGTGTGTGTGTGTGTGTACACGCACACACACACGTGCATTTGTGTTCACATGTGTGGAGGCCAAAGATCAAACTTGGCTGTTGCTCCTCAGAGTCATCGCTTTTTTTTTGCATTTGTGCATATGTATGTTCACATGTGTGTAGAGTGCATGGGCGTGTGTGTGTGTGTGCATGTGGAGGTCAGAGGTCAACGTTACATGTCTTCCTCAATTATCTCTACTTTATTCATTAGTCAGGGTCTTTCCTAAGCCCAGAGTTTGGCAATGGGGCTACTCTAGCTAGCCAGTTGTTGTAGGGAGCTCTCCTTCCCAGCACTGGGATTTCAGGGGGCGGCCACACCCACCAGGCTTTTATATGGATGCTGGGGATCTGAACTCTGGTCCTCACGATTACATTACCAGTGCTTTATCCCCTGAGCCATCTCCAAAGCATCCCCCTGTTTTTGTTTTTCTTTCTTGTTTGTTTGTTTGTTTTGAGACAGGGCCTCTCATTGGGACCTGGAGATCACTGACCAGGCTAGGCTGGGGAGGGGGAGGTGTCACGGAGCTCCTGCCTTTCTCTGCCTCCCCAGCTCTGGACTTATAAACACATGCCCCATGCTGGATTTCTTTTTTTTAAAGATTTATTTAATTTTTTATTTTATGTGCATTGGTGTGAAGGTGTCAGATCCCCTGCAACTGGATCTTCAAACAGTTGTGAGCTGCCATGTGGGTGTTGGGAATTGAACCCGGGTCCTCTGCAAGAGCAGTCAATGCTCTTAACCACTGAGCCATCTCTCCAGCCCCCATGCTGGATTTCTTATGTGCATGCTGAGGATCTGAACTCTGAACCTCACGATTGTATTACAAGCACTTCATCCCCTGATCCCTCTCCCCAGTCCCCAGACAACTGGAGATCTCTCTGCAGCATCAAATAACTCACTTGGCTTGGTGTTAAGGTGTGTCTTGAGAAGTTATTGGACATCCACTGTGTAGTAGGCACTGTGTTAACAACTAGGAGAGAGCGGAGGGATGATTCAGCACAGCCCTAGTCCAGGAGACTCTGGGGCTCCAAGAGGAAGACATTGAAGGAGAGCTCTGCCATTCTAGAAGAGAGAAGCAGATGGCGACAGTGTTCTGAAGTCCAGCGAGTTGTTCTGGTCTAAGAAACTGCCTGATGGTGGTGCCATGTGTACTCCACTCTCAAAAGCAAACACAATTTGGTTGGTGGAGGAAGAAGGTGGAGGGAACCAGAGAAGCAACAGTGTGGTGGCGGGCAGGCAGGACAACGGGCAAGCCTGACGATCCCATCGCCAGCCTTCTGCAGTTTGGCTCCTGCTTGTGTGAGTGGAGGGAGCCATGCGGATGCGGCTGGTGTTGCCCCTAGGGTCACCTCTCCATCACTGGATTCCGTTATCTCTCAAGTGTTCCTTGAGTCATGGGCGAAGAGCGAGCTTCGTGATGGTCCTTTTCTAAAGCATTCTGCTGCCTGGAAGAGGCTGGCCTGGAGCCCCAAAGAAATCTACATCGGGTCCGACGCTGAGCTGGTCTCGGGAGACCTTGACGCCTGTGCTCTGTATTCCCAGTTCATCGTCTTCGAGTTCTGCGTGTTCCTACTTGTGAAGGACAAACTGGATGTGTTTGAAGACAGACTGCAGAGCTATCTCACCCATATGAATGAGACAGAGACCTTGACCCCAGTCATCCTTCAGGTGCAAGAACTGATCAGCGTCACTAAAGGTAAAGTCACCCACTCCCCATCATCCAAACAGCATTGAAATGGCCTGACCAGGGTGCCTGGATCTCTTTTGTGTTAAAGTTAACCTCTCTCTTCCCGGGTTGACTAGGACAGGGGGCTCAGGACAGTTTATTCTAAAAAAAAAAAAAAAAAAACCATTGGGGTTGAACTGAACCGACCCATAGAACAGAGGTTCTCAACCTGTGAGTCACAGCCCCTTGGTGGTTGAACAACCCTTCCATAGGGGTTACCTAAGACCATCAGAAAATACAACTATTTACATTATGATTCATAACAGGAGCAAACTTACAGTTATGAACTAACAATAAAAATACTTTTATGGTTGGGGTTGGGTCACTACAAAACATGAGGAACTGTATTAAAGGGTCGCAGCATTAGGAAGGTGAGAACCGCTGCCTTAGACGGTTCTCATTTGAAGGAGCTGTTTTAGTTTCCTTCCCTGTTGGTGATAGAAGACTCTTACAAAAGCAGCCCAAGGGAGAGATCTATCCTAACAGTTCACGGCACAGTCTGTCATGTGCGGAGATCAAGGCGCAGGAGCTTGAAGCAGTGGGTCACATCACTGTCAGGAAACGGAGAGAGACAACTGTGCTCTGTGCTCAGCGCCCCTTCTCCATTTAAACAGCCCCGGGCCTGGGAATGGTGCTGCCCACAGTGGGCAGGTCTTCCCACCTCAGCGGGCGCAGTCAGACAAAGTGCGGTGGTGGTTTTAATGGCAGTCCCTCATAAGCTCGCATATTTGAACATTTGGTTCCCAGTGGGTGGTCTTGTTTCAGACCGCTGAGGAGGCGTGGCCTTGATGGAGGAGGTCTTTGGGAATTTGAGGATCCACCTTAAAATTCCAGTTGTTCTTTCTCCTTCCTGCTTGTGACTGGAGATGTGAGCACTCCGTGGCTGTGACCACCACCATGCCTGCCGGCTGCCAGGTCTCCTCACCATCACTTTACCAGCTGTGAAGTGATTTTTTTCATTGTGCTTCCAATTTGCATCCCCTGAAGATGAATAATGAACATTTTTTCATTTTTCCTATACATACATTGGACATTTGTGTATCTCCATTGGAGGACTGGCCTTTTTTTTTTAATTTCTATTTTTGGTAACAGGAAAAGCACTTTATGACAGAAGCTTTCTCAGAAAACAACATGTCTTAACAATATGTCCACCATCCCTGGAGAAAGGAGATATTTTCTAATTCCTAGATGAGAATCAGAGGCAAGAGCTCAGGATATATCCCCACACCAGGGAGATTACTAAATGATTGTCTTTTTTTTTTTTTTTGGAGACAGGGTTTCGCTGTAGTTGTAGAGGCTGGCCTGGAACTAGCTCTTGTAGACCATGCTGGCCTCAAACTCACAGAGATTCACCTGCCTCTGCCTCCCGAGTGCTGGAATTAACGGCATGCGCCACCACTGCCCGGCCTAAATGACTGTCTTAATCAAAGTTCTATTGCTGTTAAGAGACACCATGACCATGACAACTCATAAAGGAGACATTTAATTGGGGCTGGCTTGCAATTCAGCGGTTTAGTCCATTATCATCATGACAGGAAGCTTGGTGGCACACGGGCAGAAAAAATGTTGCAGAAGTAGCTGAGAGTTTTACATCTTGATCCACAGGCAGCAGGAAGAGAGAGATACTGGGCCTGGCTTGGGTTTTGGAAACCTCAAAGCCTGCGTCCATAGTAACACCTTCCTCCAACAAGGCCTTGTCTTCTTCAAGGTCACGACTCCTAATTCCTCCCAAGTAGTACCACTCCGTGATGACCTAGCATTTAAACATAGGAGCCTATGGGGCCATTCTTATTCAAACCTCCACAGTAACATGCTCACTGTGCAAAAAGTAGGACAATCTGAATACACACACACACACACACACACACACACACACACACACAATGGGTATGCTGGCATGTCCTTGCAATCCTTGGACTGGGGAGATGGCCAGCCAGCCCAAGCCCTAGATCCCAGTGAGAGAGCCTCAAACAACAACAAAACAAATATGGCCAATTCGTGAGGAACAATACTCAAGGTTGACCTCTGCCCTCCCCCACATATGCACATGTACACACAACCAGCTTCTCTGGCACTCACAGGCACGTGCATGAACACACACACACACACACACACACACTCACATATGGACGCATGCAGCTTGGTCTCCTCGGTAAATGGGACTTAAACAGGCAGCATAACCGGTTTCCAAAAGATTTTATGGTGCTGGTGTTTTAGGGTCCTAACCCACCAAATATCCCTGTGTAGTTCCCTCTCTATTAAAGTGGTAAAATGCCAGGACCAAGGCCACTTACAGAAGGCTTCATGTGGGCTTATGGCTCCAGAAGGTAAGAGTTCATTGTGGCAGGAAGGCATTAAGCAGGAATGGCAGTTGAGAGCCCCCGTCTTGAATTGCAAAGGAGAGCCTTTAACTCTCAAAGCCAGCCTGCGGTGACACACCTCCTCCAACAAGGCCTCATCTCCTAAACTTCCCCAAATGGTGCCATCAATTTGGGATTCTAGCATCTGACCCTATGGGAAACATTCTCGTTCAAACCACTACAATCCCTTGAGTCATGAGGCACCTATTGCAAATGATTTTCTTCCCATTAAGACTAAGGAGCTGGGAGCATGTCATGGCCAGAAGGTGCCATCTTTGCTATGAATTCCTTTCTTATGGCTCTACGGCCACAGAAAGCTACCTTATAAGTGGACACTCAGACATCAGCTGGTTTTTCATATTGCTGTGCTTTACTGTGGCCTGTGAACATCTTGTGAATCTTTAATGTAGATTTATGTTCAGTATGATGAGTCCTTGAGCTCCACACTCAAAAAACAAATTTTACTTCCATTTTAGCAGCATCCATTTTTTTAAAAAAAAAATTATTTATTTTTCCGGGTGGTGGTTGTGCATGCTTTTAATCCCAGCACTTGGGAGGCAGAGACAGACAGATCTCAGTGAGTTCAAGGTCAGCCTAAGTCTACAAAGCAAGTTCCAGGACAGCCAGGACTATAACACAAAGAAACCCTGTCTCGAATACCCACCCCACCAAAAAAAAAAAAGATTTATTTATTTATTTATCTATTTATTTATTGCAGGCAGAGTTTTTCATCAGGATTGTTGATCAGTTCTGTCCTGCCATCCAGCTCCCAAATAACCACACAGAAACTTAATAGTAATTATTTACACTTGGCCGATAGCTTAGGCTTGTTACCAACTAGCTCTTACAGCTTAAATTAAACCATATTTTTTAATCTATATTCTACCACGTGACTTGGCAACTTTTCTCAGTAACAGCATGCTCATCTCCTGCTTCCCCTGTGTCTCCTCGCTACTTCTGAGACTCCCGTGACTCTGCCAGTCCTCCTCCCAGCACCCCTTCTCCCCAAAGATCCTGCCTAGCTAACTATAGGCCACCGGCTCTTTTATTAATCAATGAGAGTAATATATATTTACAGTATACAAAGATTCTTCCACAGCAACTTTTATTTTAGGGGTATGTGCACCTTGTGTGCCTGGTGTCCTCCGAGGGTCATCTCCCTCTGCTCCCTGGCTGCAAGTTCTATGTGACCAGCTGCCTCAAGCTCCTGCTACCATGACTGTACCTTAGAACTGTGAGCCAGAACAGACCCTCCCTTCCTTAAACAACCCTTGCCAGGGTATTTTGTTACAACAACAGAAGAGTAACCAAGCCAGAGCCTGAAAAAACAAAACTCGATGAAAGGTGGAGGCTACAACCTGTTGACCCCAGCTATTTTTGTGACCAATGCACACCTACCCTATACCCTCCCCAAAAGTTGCAATTAAAAGTCCGCTGTTACTGTCTTTTTCTGGATGGGGCCTACATAGTTTTCCCAGCCTTAACTGAATATAGTTGGAACACACTAGTCTCCAAGGTATCAGAAGACCATGCAGGAAATCACTATACGGGCATGGGGGGAGGATGTGTGTGACTAAATGGGGTACATGCTCACCCACAGAGAAGGAGGTAACGGGGTGTAGGAGGTTCCCCTATACCTTTCTGATGAGGACCTGCTCTCTGCAAGTCCTCCTCAGGTGATTTCCAAGCCCTCTCCTGTCACCCTTCCTCTTTCAGGAGTCTGGGTGGTGGCCATTCTGCCCGCCTCCCTCACGTGTGTCAGCTATCTCTTCCACATACTGGCCTGTTACAGGTAAGCGAACTCTAGCAGTCACTTGTATGACTTCAGCCCAAACGGTGCATGACACTCTTCACCCAGAATTCCTGACCGGTCCCTGCCTGGCTCAGTGTGGCACAAGGGAGTGTATACACAGGCCAGGTATGGTCAAAGGCACCATTTGTTGAGAAGAATATAAGTATAACAAGTTGGACATCTAGGATGATCTACCATTATGCGTAGAGTCCTCATCCCAACTCTACCCAGCCTTGGGAGCTGAGTATTTATTTTCCTCTCAACGTTTACAGCTGACGAAACTGAGACTCAACAAGATTAAATGAGTTCTCGAACACTGAGCAGAGGGGCGCGTCCTCCTGATACCAGAGACCTTGGTGTTTCTTGTGCGTTCTGCTTTATTGTTGGATGTCAGAGCGGCTCCACCAGGCTCCCAGCGGTTAATCTGGGACGGTCAGTGGAGGGGAGCTCAAGAGACCTGAGAGCATCTACCTCATGTTTTGTGCCTGGGATTTCTTAGATTTCACATTTTTTTTGACCCAACATACTAATTTCTTATATTTTGTCTTCAGTGCCTGAGATTCTCTTCCTTCTCTTGTATTCTATTGGTGAGGTTTGCTTCTGAGGTTCCGGCTTGAGTTCCTAATTCTTTCATCCTCAGTGCTCCCTCTGTTTGACTGATTCTGCTTTCACTTCCATGTCCTGAACAGTTTCCTTCATTGCATTCCACTGTCTGTGTTTTCACTGATGCATTTATTCATGTTCTCCTTAAAGTCCTTCATCTATATCTGTATAGATATATCTATATTTATAATAGACACTTTGAAGTCCTTGTCTTGTGCTTCAGCTATGTTGGATTTCTCAGGGTCTCCTATGGGAGGGCTGCTGGGCTGTAATGGAGACATATTGTCCTGGCTGTTATTGGTTGTGTGTTCATGCTGGCATCTAGGCATCTTGGTTTGGGGTGATGGTAACTCTATGTATTAATATCTGGTCTTGTCTTTATTGGGTGGGTTTCCCTCCTTGGTTTCCGTTGTCCTCTCTGGATCTTAGGAGAACATGCTGACTGTGGGCTGCCTGGTAGGTACTGCTTCTGAGTCCCTTCCAGGTGTTACCACTGGGGTTCTGAATAGAACTCGCTTCTAGCTCTTGGGGCTGACAGGAAGAAATGGGGATAGACAGGACAGAGGGCTGAGAGCGACCACAGGAGGGAGAAAAGCTGGGTCTGCCGTGAGGATCTGATTCCCTGGCTGGCACGGTCAGTGGGTTTCCAGGGAGAGTGTGCTTCGGATGCTGGTGGCTGAAACTAAGGGGGTATGGGCAAGGGGAAGATTGGGGAAGGGATTCACTCAGTTCCCTAGGAGTGGGGGCTGAGAGTGACATTGTTTCTGTCGTTCTGAGACTTTCCAATTTTGTAATCATGAAAAGTAGAACACAACTAGGAAAAATACTGGAGATTGCGTACACACAGTGTTGAGAGAGAGAGAGAGAGAGAGAGAGAGAGAGAGAGAGAGAGAGAGAGAGAGAGAGA